GAAAATGCAAAAAGAAAACAAATTCAAAACACTGGGTTGCCTCCCAGGAGCACTTGTTTAACGTCATTAGCTCGACGCCTGTCTACTTTATGGCTCAAGCAGGTGAGTGATCAAGGTGAGTCTTTCAACTGCACCTCACATATAAGCTTTGATTCTTTGCCGATTGACTGTCCATGTTCTTCGTGTTGCTGGATCTTCCAATTTCACAGCACCATAAGGCTTAACACTTCTTATCAAGAATGACCCTGACCATTTGGACTTTAATTTCCCAGGGAAAAGCCTTAACCTTGAGTTGAACAACAACACAGATTGACCTGGATGAAAATCTCGTTTCAAAATTTCTTATCATGATATGCCTTGACTTTCTTCTTGTACAACTTGGAGGATTCATATGCATTGAGTCTCATTTCTTCTAATTTATGCATCTAAGTTCTTCTTTTCTCTCCTGAAGCTTTAGGGTCGAAATTGAGGAATTTTAAAGCCCAATAAGCTTTGTGCTCCATTTTCACTGGGAGATGACATGACTTGACATAAACAAGTTGAAAGGGAGAAAGCCCAGTGGGAGATTTGTATGCAGTTCTATAAGCCCAAAGCGCATCATCCAGCTTCATTAACCAATCTTTCCTTGAGGTTCCAACATAAAATCAATTGGTAATATGGGGAATAGCCTATCATGTATTTAAACCATACCAAATAACATGAGACAGGCGATGTGGGACTTCTAACATTTAGATATTTTGGTCTTGCCCTCCTTGGTTCGTAGTATCAAGGCAGAACCTTCCACTTCTAAACCAATGGCTGACTTCATAATTTTCCTACACTAGGTTAATAATATATTTCAAAGCCCAGTCCAAAATACAACTCCTATCTATACTCAGCCCATTGTACTATAAAAAAATAATGATTGGTCAGGGATTAAATTGGCAAAAGTGATCTCTTAGGGACGAAATTGATAAAGGATAATTAAATGAATTTTACACTAGCTTTGATTTGAAGTTCTTCAATTTATCTATTATTTTACCATTTTCACCTTTTTCTTATAGCAAATAATTGTTCATTATGTTGGTTGTAATATATTTCTTTCTTTACTTGACAGTTTGGTTCAGTTCATTGACTCTTATGATCCACCACTGAAAGGCTTACAGGAAGACCTAAATTTTGTGAGCCCTCGTATTGGAGAGGTTAATTTCATCCTTTCTTGATCAATATTACGTAAATAATTGCCCAGTACATACGGTAAAGAAGACAAGTATGTTTTCTATTCTTCTAATGATTATTTTCTTTGTGGTTCTTTCTTTTCATGATTAAGTTCAATTTAATTTTGCTTCGCCTTCTACTTTTTAGGAGCTGCATTAGTTGCTCTTAAATCTCGTGGAAATAGTGTTGATTAATGAAATTATATCACCTGATCCACCTCATTTGCTTTGGGATAGAAGCTGACATTTATTTTCTTTGTCATGTTTTGTATAAATAAAGTACAACCATCTACTTGGGAATCTTCAGTCGATTAAAGACTGTCTTCCACAATCTCTTCCCTTAAATGTTAGATAGAAATGAAAGCATTTCGGTTCCTTCGCCTCACCGCATAAACCTTTAAGATAGTTGGTCATTTGAGTATTCAAGCCTATTTTGACCAAGTTGTCAGGAGTTTGATAGTTGCCTCCTCCTTTTCTATAACTAAATTCAATTTCAGCACAAGATAAAGCTTTTTCGTTCACTCTATGTTTCAAGTTTGAAGGGCTCTTGTGTGAATAAGTTTGTTATTGCTAGATAAAAACAATGATGGACCTCTTCATAAAGGCTCAAGCTTTTAGAAGGTTTGGTCCTTAACATCATCGAATATCAAAATTTAACTAATCATTTCAGCAGAAGTCACATTGTTACTGTGACCTCCATCTTTGGGTTCCTTATAAGTTAAAATTGAGAACTAGAGAAGACTGCATGTGACATTTGGTTGTTAAATGTAAAATCTCGGTACAATTTCTTAACACTATAGCTTCTGCTTCCAGATATATTATGATTTTTCTTCCATGATAAACTTATTCAGTTACTTATAATTTCATCAAATAAATAAGACATGCTCTCTAATCCAGCAAAAAGAAATTGAACACTTGCCTGTTTTTAACTTTTTATACTATTTTCATGTAAATAATGATTTCTTAGTTAATTTCCTTATGGGTGAATTACTGTATTTGACAACTTGTTAATATATTTCTGTTTCGAAATAGATAGACTAACACATATTAGAGTCTATTTGGACAAACTTCTCTGTAAGGACTTTTACGAGAGAAAAACAATAAGAAAATGACATTGACTATTTCATAAGTTAAACTTAGTTTATGCACAAGTTTTTCTTAATCAAAAGTAAGAATGCTATTGTACCACTATACTGACTAAAATCCTAACTAGGTTATCACCTTTAGTCAGTATCAATCATCTACAACATTCCTAACAAAATCTAAACTGTGGAAGTCCACTTTTATCTGTACAAAAATCATATGAAATAAACAGAGAAACACTTTCCCACCAAAAATAACCTTGATTTTTAATCCCAAAGGAAGCTAGACTATTGGCACATCTATTTCCTTCTCTTTAAATTATGTGATACACAAAAACACTATGTTAAAAAAATCTCCATACATTTCATCCATCTATTCTTCAATCTCCAATGAATCAGATCTTGTTGGGAAACAGCCGTAACCAGCAAAGTAGAATCACCTCCAACGATATGAATCTCCAAGATTTTTGATGAGCAATCACAATAGCATGAATAATCCCCATAACCTCTGCTTCAAATGCTGAGCTTACCTGAAGAGTTACAGAAAAACATGTTAGGATCGAGCGCTTACCACTAGGCCAAAAGCTATAGCCTTTAGTCAGAGCGCAACTCTTTTTACTTTAACAGCCCAAGCGCCACGATTCAATTGTGACTCGGCCCACCTGACCTTCGTCACAGGACAATTGATGCTACCTGCAACAATCTCCCCCTCAGCAATTGTCCTACAAGGTATCCCACTCTTGGATTGTGACTTGGCCCACCCGGCCTCGCCACGGGACAATTGTGCAACCTGCAACAATCTCCCCTCAACAATTGCCCACCAGGAATCGAACTCGTGACCTTGGCTCGATACCAATTGTTAGGATCGAGCGCTTACCACTAGGCCAAAAGCTATAGCCTTTAGTCGGAGCGCAACTCTTTTTACTTTAACGACCAAGCGCCACGATTCAATTGTGACTCGGCCCACCCGACCTTCGTCACAGGACAATTGATGCTACCCGCAACAATGTGGGATACCTTGTAGGACAATTGCAGGGGGAGATTGTTGCAGGTAGCATCAATTGTCCTGTGACGAAGGTCAGGTGGGCCGAGTCACAATTGAATCGTGGCGCTTGGGCTGTTAAAGTAAAAAGAGTTGCGCTCTGACTAAAGGCTATAGCTTTTGGCCTAGTGGTAAGCGCTCGATCCTAACAAAACATCCCATGCTATAAAGTTGCTGAATATTCCTCCTCAAGCCAACCATGAATAGCATGAATAATTCCCATAACTTCTACTTCATATACTAAGCTTTCCTGAAGAGATACAGAGAAACATTCCATTTTCTTTGCCCTAAAGTTCCCGAGTATTCTTTCACTAGCCGAAATATTTAAGCTGTTAATGTATGCTCCATTTGTAATACACTTAATCCAACCATGATCCCACGGGAGCCAGTTAATTTGAACAATCTTGAGTTCTTTCCTTGGCCTGCAAACAATAACAAATAATTTAAAAAGCTTGAATTCTTTCTTTATTTGTAGAAGTTCTCTCATATAGCTTCTCCAAAATTTTATTTTTAACTTTTACATAAGGTAATTTTAACTTATGGAGAAGTAATTTCACAAAGGATGGAGAGCTCTTTGGATTGAGATTGATTCTTTACTTACTATGAAATCTTTTTGTGATAGCTCTTTGGTTCCTTGAGGGTAAATGTTTTGGGGTCTGTTAGGAGTATAAATTTCAGATTTTCTCATATATTTAGGGAGGGAAATAGGCGTGTTCATGGTTTAGTAGCCTATGGTTTGAGAACTTTTGTTTTGTCTTGGTGGGATAGTATAACTACTTGTATTGTTCTGGACTTTTATTGGAATATGTGTGGTTTTTCACTCTTTCGTTTCTCTTAGAGGGTTTGGTTTGGTCCTTCCACTTTTGTATTTATTTTCTCTTTAATAATATTTCGAAGAATGTGGCATATGATTGGTACAAGTTGTAGAGCTAACATAGTTAGCTTTGCAAATAGTGATGCAATGACATTCTTTCCTTGGATTTAAAAAAAAAAAACATTTTTTCTTCATATTTTTCGCTCTAAAAGTTCTTTTAGATAAGTTTGTCCAAACATGTTTGTAGAACTATTATTTTGATTTCATTGTTTTCCTTGATTCTTTCCTAGTTTCAATGGATAGATCATTTTAATTCCTAAATCATAGGGATTGATTATGTAATTCATGTATATAAGTATTTCTTAGAAAGTTGACTTTAAGCCTAATTTAACCTTATAAAACTCATTTGTAAGGTGAGGTTTGTATACACTAAGTATATAGTATAATTTGGTTATATCTCTAGTTGATGTGAGATTTCCAACATATTTCCTTATGCTAAGGATTTGACATCTCTAGCATGAGATTGGTTACTTGTAGGTGGAATAATAGGCTCAATAAACTTGATAGAATAGGTTCTGCTACCATCTTAGAAATTGGACTTCAAGTCTAACTCAATTTTACAAAATTGGCTTGTAAAGTGAGTTTTGCACCCATTTATATATTATAATTTGACCGGATTTCTAATCAGTGTTAGATTTCTAGAATTTGATGAGTATATAAATATAAGTGGAGGGCAACTGGATCCTCATAAGCTAATTTTATTCGATTGAGATATGTTCTAACCCAAATTATGAAATGGTTGAAAAACCTATTTTAGATTCATTAACAAATCACCTACCGTATTTAACCACACACTAAGTCCAATAATGTTGGATGTGAGGAGGTGTATTAAGAAAAACTCAAATCTCATAGTGACTAGGGATACAAGTGAGTGTAACCCACCTTAGAAGTCAATTTTTTTAGGCCAAGTTCGGTCCAACCCCAAATTATAAAATTTACATATCTTTTTTCAGGTATTGGAGGCTGTTGGTCCTATTATATTTCTGTCAACAGACACAAGGAAACTTAGAAATGAGGGATTTTTAAGTCCATATCATCCTCGGTATCCAGACATACTCACAAATTCTGCTCATCCACTGGTAATGTTTCTGGTAGTAACCATATTGATATTGACTTCTTAAATTGATAGCTTGTAAATACATTGATGCTCTCTTTCATTCAACTCTGCAGAGAGCACAAGATCTAGCAAATGTAACTTCGTATCGAGAATGGGTGTTATTTGGGTATCTAGTCTGCCCTGATGAACTGCGTCGTGTCACCAGCATTGATATTGCTTTGGTATGATTCAGGCTTCAGACTGTAGTCAGATAGCTACACTGTGAAGTTTCTGTTTGATTTTACAACTTACCGATTTGCTGAAATTGTTTGCTTTTACTGGGGCAAAAACACTACCATGTTAATATAATTAGTTAGATTTTAATTTGTGACCTTCTAAACACGAAAGCTTTACTAGAATGTTAGATGTACCCAACCATGTATTTCAATATTGGTAGTAGATGATGATGTGCAAAATGTACCCATCTGAAACATCTGCGGTTCTATTTCTCGTGCAGTTATCTTCTCTTTGTCCGTGTAGTGATGGTACTGAAGTGTGAATAAAACAAAATGGAGGTGGACAGGAATCTTTTATTGAATGAAGAACAAAATCGCAATTCTGTAGTCGAAGTAAGTGCAGACTGAGGGTTATAAGAAAGTCAATCTCAGAAATTAGAGAGACTCTCGACTCTCCTAACTACCTGTTCTCAGCCCCAAATGACCCTTCATTCTTCCACCCTCCCAGGACGTGTAGTAACCCTAACTTCTGTTTTCAGTAGGTCTTGGTTATCTTCTGGCCCATTACTTCTCTACTTAAAATAGATCTGCAAAAATTTTTGTCTTCAAACAATACTGCAACTCAAAACCTTCACCTTGTCCTGGTGAAAATCAAGAAAAGCCTATTGCAAGTAATGAGCACGTCTCAGGCATTCTCACATTCTGGTAACCTTTTCCATTTGACTCGCAATCCACTGCACCTGCAGCATTTGTTGTATTTATAGAAGCTCCTGGGGTTGACACTACTATTTCCCAGTCCTTAGGTAGATCAATTGGTAAAGGCCGAGGTTATGCAGCTCTTGAGACAGCTTTCTTTAAAAGGCATACATGAAAAACATTATGCTCTCTCCGCTGTGGTCAGGGAATTGCAGAAGGATATTTGATAAGAATGCTGTAGAATATCTCATGTGGGCGCTTTTAGATAATATAGACGTTATATTATTTGGTGTTAAGTCAAGTGCTTGGTAAGCCATACAGGGGGTTGGGATATAATTTAATTTTAGATAAGATGATACTCTTTACTTACTAATAATCATCTAAATGTTGTCATAATTACAGTAAGATTTTATATTGAAATAGTGTGAGTTATATTTGTGCTAAGTTTACTTCCTTAGTTCTGTTTGGTCTTGATATTTCAGGTAGTATTGAAGGAGAATTTAGTCCTCACATTATTCAGAGATGAGGTAATTTTTTCTTATTGACTTTAGAATAATGTCTTTAACTACTGAAGTTGACAATTTTTTAAATCAATGCACAGTACATACTTCTGCATGAGGATTACCAGTTGTATGTTCTTCCTCGAATATTAGAATCTAAGAAGATGGCAAAATCTGGACGTACGAAGCAAAAAGAGGCAGATTTGGAGTATAATGTTGCAAAACAAGTTGAGAAAATGATAAGGTACATATCAAATTTCTGTTGAAATATATTTTTGTGTCAGAGGGAATGAGAGATCAAGATAATTTGACTTGTCCATGTCTCCATGATCATTCCAGGTTGGTTTTTGTCATTGATTTGGTGACTGAATTCTAAAGGCTTGGTTCTTATTGTCCAGTTATTGGACATTCCTTGATTTTTTTGATGCAGTTAAAATTTAATATAATAGAAGGCAGACAGCAAATTTTTTGGTATCACTAAAACCTTTACCCATTTGATAACTGCTATGCATAAGAATTTAATGTACTTTACCATTTTTTGGTTCTTGGAGTGTTTATTTTAACAAGGTTAGGTTTAGGGAAGTTTAAGATTTCACACTTGGGTGTTTCATTTTATGAGGTTCAATGGTTTTTGAAGCCTCTTTATAGAGTTTGAACATACTTCTTTTTCTGGGGTAAATTGTTGGGATTTGGCATGAAGTGGTTCACTTCAAAAAACTGAACTGAATGATGACCTTCTAAATTCAAGGAGTCAACATAAAGAATAAACTGTTCTTTTCTTTTTTGAAGGAAAACTGGCTGTATTATTTGTTATTTGAAATCACTCTCGCAACTCTTCTACTCTTTTATGTCGATATATGTTATTCTTTAATTGAGTGTGTTTTCCTGTCATATTGGAAGGTTGTAGCATCCTCACTATTACAATTTACAGTGCTAATTGCAAAACTGATTGACTTTTTCAGTGAAGTGCATGAGCAAGCAATATTATCTTGTGATGCTATTCATCGAGAAAGAAGAATTTTATTGAAACAAGAGATTGGGAGAATGGTGCTTTTTTTTACTGATCAGCCCAGCCTGTTGGCCCCTAACATTCAGGTGTCTTTCTTTTGGCAATTTGAAGGATGAAAAAATGATGTCTCTGACATTTGTTGCTGAAACTTTTGGTATCATTTTGCTTGTAAATAGTCTTGAATCACTTTTACACAAGTGCATACTATTACACCTGTTCTGTAGTTTCATATCATTAAGAGACAACAAATCTTTAGAAAAATTACAAAAAAGAAGCTATAGAAAAATATTTCTTGTTCCCAACCAGTTGATAATATTTAAATAGTGGTTATTGTGAAACCACTTAATTAACCAAGTGGGTACTTGTTTCTAAACGTTCTACAAATAATATTTATGTGTAATTTTGAGATTTTTTTGGAAGATACTTGATATGATGTTTATGTGGTTTCTATTTGAAATTTGATGCTGATTCTGACGACGGCAATGGTTCTTCTGATCATGCCTAATCTTTGTAAATGCCTTTTGGATTTTATGGTCCTATTGAGCAAACTATAGCATCCCTATTATTTTTATTAATACAAAAATGTCGCTTCCTAGAACACATGTTTCACTCTTGTATATTGTTAGTGCCTAGTCTGTTGAAATACCACATAATGATGAGACGCTTAAATAAACGAAAATGTTTGCTCAAATCAAAATTACTTGTCCTCTTTACTATAATACATTTTGGCAATGATGGATGGGCTAATCATAGACTGCAAATGCTTAGTACTTAATTTGTAATTTGTTTTAATTAAATAAGTATGCACTAGTTCACTATGTTATCTGCAAATCCAACTAGGTTGGCACTCTAGACACAACAACAATCATTTGGAACACACTTAGGCATTATGAAAAAAATAAAAACAAATACAAGATGGGGACCAAATAAAATCCATCAAAAAGAAACTAACAAACCTATAAAAAGGCAAATGATATTTGTCTTTAAAGAAACCTAAACGTAAGAAAGAAGGCATATCTTATTCAGAAATACATATCTGCTAAAATGATATTCAATTCCCAAAAAATATAAAGACAATATTCTTTATTATTAATCAAGTTGTTCTAGAACCAATATTGGTTAACACCAATGTTAGTGACTTGTATTCCTTAACCACGTGGTCCAGGTTCATATCTTGGTGATGCCACTTGGGTATGGAATAAACTTTGTTGGGAGGAAATACCTACTTTGTATGTATGTGATCTCAAGGTCTTCAATGGTATTAGCATTGCTTCTAGGGATGATTAATCCATACCAATACCATGGTTAAAAAAAAAAAGTTGTTCAAGAGCTTAGCAACCTAATGTTATCCTCAAGCTTATTCATGTCATAACTCAACTGAACAAAACTGACCGCAAATAGTTTGTGACAGTTCTAGTGATTCACAGTACACCTTTTACTTGTTGGCATGCTTATATAGACACGTAGAAGTTAGTGTTAGGCTGTTAGCATGTTAAACTAACAGGTTGTATATACATTTCTAGACTAGTCATTGCTTATTGTGATGATGGTTCTATATCAATATCATGAGTATTGATGGAGATCTTACATCGACTGGAGATTTTTTACATACGTGAAGTGTAAACCTCACCTTACAAATCGGTTATGTAGAGTTGAATTAGTCCCATATCCACTTTCTAATATAGAATTAGAACCTATCCTAGTAAGGGTTGTTGGGCCTATCACTCTACCGATTGTTGGGTTGATGTCGAACCATCCTTAAATATTTAGTTTCACGCTATCGAGATGTCTATTTGTGAGAAATTGTGTAGGTAGTAAATAATAATTATGGAATTATTTGACTTGATTCAGAAAAAATAGTACATGGGTATTTAAAGGAAAACATAATCCTAATAAAAGGAAATAAATCTTTTGGAATAAAGATTATAAATTAGGAGCAAATCTACCAAATAAACTCCTAATCCAAATCCCTTAATTTCAGGGATTTCATTTAAGAAAATCTATATTTTACAATAAATTTACAATATTTACACCCATATTTCAACATCCCCTCTCAAGTTGAGGAATAAATATCCTCCATTCTTGGCTTACTTATGAGATTGTGAAAGTCTGAGGTATTGAGTCCTTTTGTCAGCACATCCCTGTTGTTTGGATGGCATATACGACATGCATACTAGACCTTCTTCTAATTTTTCCTTAATAAAATGTCTATCTATTTCAATATGTTTTGTCTTAGTATGTTGAACGGGATTATGTGTAATGTCTATTGTTGACTTATTATCACATTAGAGCTTCATGGGTCCCTCCAAATTAATCTTCAAGTCATTTAAGATAATTTTCAGCCATGATAACTCACATAACCCTTGTGCAATGGATCTGAATTCTGACTCTGGTGATGATTTTGCCACCATATTTTGTTTTTTGCTTCTCCATGTCACTACGTTCCCACCTTGGAAAGTACAATATTCAGTTGTTGATCTTCTATCAACAAGAGAACCTGCATAATCTGCATCAATATAGGCTTGAAGATTCAGTCTTCCAGTTTTTTTGAATAATATTCCCTTTCCAGGGCTTTTCTTTAAGTAATGTAGAATCCTATATGCAGCTTGAAGATGATATTCCTTTGGTTCATGCATAAATTGGTTGATGACACTCACTGAATGAGCAATGTCTAGCCTTGTGTAAGCCAGATATATCAATTTTCCATCTAGTCTCTGATACATCTTTTGTCTACTGTTGGTTCCTCTTCGGCCTTACATAACTTATGATTAGGATCCATTGGAGTCGATAATGGTTTGCACCCAATTCTTCTAGTTTCTACCAACAAATCAGTTATATATTTTTGCTGAGATATGAAAATTCCTTGGTTAGAGTAGGCTACTTCAATCCCTAGAAAATACTTCAATCTTCCAAGCTCTTTTATCTCAAATTCCTGGGCTAGCCTCTGTTTCAATTTTTCCTTCTCTTTTTCATCATTTCCAGTCACTATAATATCATCAACATAAACTAGAAGGACGGTTACCCCCTCTTTCCCTTTACGTTTAATAAATAAAGTGTGATCTCCTTGACTTTATTTGTAGCCAAATCCCTTCACAGCTTTTGTGAACCTTCCAAACCAAGCTCTAGGGGATTGTTTCAGTCCATAAAGAGCCTTATGCAATTTGCACACCTTATTTGTCCTGTCTCCTTCAAATCTAGGCGGAATATTCATGTAGATTTCTTCTTCTAGATCTACATGGAGAAAGACATTTTTAACATCATATTGTAGAAGTTTCCAATCAAAGTGGGCAGCTAAGGACAAAAATTTCTTACAGTATTCATTTTTGCAACTAGTGCAAAAGTCTCTTGGTAGTCTATTCCATAAGCTTGAGTGTATATCTTGGCAACCAACCTCACTCTATATCTTTCAAGAGATCCATCAGCCTTATATTTTATTGTGACTATCCATTTAGAGTTGACAATATTCTTTTCTTTGGGTTTGTCAACAATTTCCCAAGTACTATTTTTTTTTTCTAATGCATCCATCTCCACTTTCGTGGCATCTCTCCATTCTTTCCTTGTCAAAGCTTCATTAACCGTGTTAGGAACAACAATAGAATTCAAACTAACAATGAACCTTTTATGGTTAGTTGATAATCTATCCAGACAAACATAGTTTGATAGAGGATAAAGAGGTTGTTTTGCACAGTTTCTAATGCCTTTTCTGATGGCTATTGGCAGATCAAGGTCATTTGGAGAGTCAGAATTCAGATTTTTTGGTTCAGACTTGTGCCCAGTTTCAGGTTCAGAACTTGGATTGGATTCATGGACTTGCCCCATGGCTGAAATGCTCTTCCTCCTTGTGTAGACTTGTGCCCAGTTTCAGGTTCAGAACTTGGATTGGATTCATGGACTTGCCCCATGGCTGAAATGCTCTTCCTCCTTGTGTAGACTTTGTTGAATCTTGAAAGATTGTGGGTATTAGCTCTTGAGGCTGAATCTTTGATAGTTTCAGCATTTGCTGGTTGCAGTTCAGTGGGATCAGTAACATACTCAGTTTCAACTTCCAATTCTGTCCCAGAATTAATATGCTTAGGTGCAGGTTCAGTTGGAGCATATGGCAAAACAAAGGGGTCAAATTAATCATCACAATTTTCTGAAAAATTTTCTTGGGAACCAGCATTGGAAAATAAAAAATTTAACTTCAGTGAAGGTGACATCAATGGAGATTAGAATTTTTTAGATGAAGGATCATAACATTTGTAACCTTTTTGAGATGTTGAATAACCAAGAAAGACACAACTAACAGCCCGGAGATCAAGTTTATCTCTATTTTGTTGTGGATATGTATAAAAGCTGTGCACCTAAATGTTATAAGAATGAGACCGTTGCGACCTTAAAGTGAGGGAAAAAACTGTTTAAAGTTTCAATTGGGCTTTTGTTTTCTAGGATATGTGTGGAAAGTATCATACATGTAGCACTGAGGACAGCTTCTCCCCAATAATTTTTTGGAACTTTTCCTTGAAAGAGAAGTGCTCGGGTAGTGTTTAGCAAGTGCCTATTTTTCTTTTCTGGGAGTATAGACACATGATGAGTCATGAGCGATCCCTTTGGAATGAAAATAGGTAGACATAGTTTGGCTGAAATAATCCCCATCATTGTCAAACCTAAATCTGTTTATGATTACCCCAAATTGATTTTGAATCATCACACGAAAAATGGAATAATAGTGCTCATTTTAGATTTTTGTTTGAGTAAATAGAGCCAAGTAACTCTAGTGCAATAATTAATAAAGGTTACAAACCAACGAGCCTCAGATATATTGGTAGATGGTTCCTATATATCACTATGAATTAATTAATTGGAAAGGTTGTGAACTTCTATTATTGCTAATGGGAAAAGATACACAAGTGTGTTTAGCTAATTCACAAGCCTCACAATGTAGTTTTGAGGTATCTGAATTTTCAAATAAATGGAGAAACATTATTTTTAAAAGAGAAATTGATGGATGTCCTAACCGACAGTGGTACAACCAAAGAGTGTCTTTATTTGATATACTGAGTAGTGACATGTGTTGGTCATTCTTGAGATGGTTCAAGGTAGTAAGGTCCATTTTTTTCCTTAGCAAGTCCAATCCTCGTCCTCAAGTCCTGATCTTGGAAAACACACAAAGTTGGGCAAAACATTGCAAAACAATTAAGATCATATGTTGGTTTTCTGATAGAGATAAGACTTGTTGAAAGCTTTGGGACATACAAATATTTTTAAGAACAAGTGTGGAGGATAAATAAATATCTCCATAGCCTGCAACTGTGGCTAAAGAGCTGCTGGCAACAATAATTTTTCTATTGCTTGGAGATGGAGTATAAGAATGAAAGAGTTGAGATGAATATGCCATATGATTTGTATCTCCCGAATCCACAATCCAAGAGTTAGCGCTATATGAGACACTCATACAAGAAATGTTACATGAGAGGGCAAGAAAGCATGATTCCCTAGTCTTTTGTGACCAACTGGAATCATCTTTTGTTGATCTTGTATTAGACATCTTGGAGATGTAGATAACTGACTGGTTGTGTCTAATGAGTGATTTTACAAAAAGAAAAAACAACAATAAAGGTTGTTACGGTAAAATTGCAGCAATTAAGGCTGCACCCTCCTGAAAATAAAATGGCAATGAAAGCCACCAGAGATAAGAACACAGAGATTAGAGCTCCAAGAAAACCTAGAGCTATGATACCATGTGAGCAATTGTGTAGGCAGTAAATAATAATTGTGGAATTATTTGACTTGATTCAGAAAAAATAGTACATTGGTATTTAAAGGAAAACATAATCCTAATAAAAGGAAATAAATCTCTTGGAATAAAGATTATAAATCAGGAGCAAATCTACCAAATAAACTCCTAACCCAAATCCCTTAATTTTAGGGATTTCATTCAAGTAAATCTATATTTATTATACAATAAATATACAATATTTACACCCATATTTCAAAACTATTCTTTGGTATGAGGGGGTGTATTGAAGATTTCACATCAAATAGAATATGACCAAATTATAGGATATAAATGAGGTGCAAATCTCACTTTACAAGACGGTTTTGTAGGGTTGAATTAGATTCATATTCACTTTCTAATAGTTACAAAAGGCGAAATCAAGTTGTTCAAGAGGTTAGCAACCTAATGTTATGCTCAAGCTTACCCATTTCATTACTGAACTAAACAAAACTGACCGCAAATACTGTGACAATTCTGTTGATACACAGTACACCTTGTACCCGTTGGCATGCATATGTAGACGCTTAGAAGTTAGTGTTAGGCTGTTAGCATCTTAAACTAACAGGCTTCATATGCATTTCTAGACTTGTCTTTGGTGGACTGTGGTATGTCAAAATTCAATTTAAATTTCTGTCCTAGGAATTTGAGCATAGTACTTGTCTTTAGCTTTGTAATTAGTTATGTATTTTTCTTTTAGTATTTCATATATCTTCACCTTAAAATAATTTGTTTGAGATGATTTAATCTTTGTTGCAGATGGTGTTTTCTGCCTTGGCTTTAGCCCAATGTGAAGTGATATGGTATTTCCAACATGTAGGAGTTGCATCATCAAGATCTAAAACCACCCGAGTGGTACCAGTGGACATAGTAAGTTTTTCTTTATTATTCTTTTATTGCCTTTTTTTAACCAATTCTCTTTTCTAAGCAAATTAAAAGATTTGGGCTTTCTAGAACTATTAGATTGGACTCAAGTCTAACACAATCTAAAAAGTCTAGCATAAGGAGTGTGTATTGCCCCAGCCTTTTCAGGACTATTCTGGCCATATTTTTTGATGATGTGAGGCATTAAATTATTAATGCATCTCTCTCGTCCATGACCAGATGACGGAAATCTAGAAGGTGAAATTTTCTGGGTGGGACATATGTGGATGAACCAACATCAAGACTCATACCATATTAGAAATGAATTGGCCCAACACTTGAAAGCTTGAATTATGAGGAAAATTAAATATAATATTTTTTTTATGATTTTACAATGTCAGGGTACAATATATATAGCCATAAGAATAAATGCTATCCCTGGTAATTTTAAAGTACAAATCTATACATAATTTAGGAAATATGGGAAAAATGAAAACATATCCTAGTTGCAAGAACTAAGGAAACTAAATCTATACTCATAAGAAAAATATTGAATTATAATACTCATTGTCAAGCCGGGGAATTGATATTTATTATCTCCAACTTACATATAAGATCTTTGAAGTATTACTTTTTGCTCAAAACATTTGCTACTAAAGTCAAAGGGATATATGTAGTAACTATGAGAATAGTATCTAATTTTCCTTGATGAAATTCTAGTCTATCACAATATATTTTGTCCTATCATGTTGAATCAGATTGTTTGCAATGTTGATAGTAGACTTTTGTCATAAAATGGTCTCATTTAATCTAGAGCTCACCAAGTATAATTTTGATCTATAATAGTTCACAAATCCCTAGAGCCATTGCACGATATTCTATCTTTGCACTAGTCCTTACAACTGAAATTTTCTTCTCACCCTTCCATGTTACCAAGTTACCACCCAAAAATGTACAATATCCTGGGGTTCCAATCAACATCAAACCGTACATAGTCTACATCTGTTTGTAGTTGCATGTACAATTTTCCATGCTTTTCAATTAACAGTCCTTGTGTGGATTGAAAGGGTAAAGATTCAAATTTGGTATTGGGACTGCATCATGTGATAAATGTCATCTATTTGTAGTGGACACGTTGGTCAATGATTTGTAAAAGCCCTAATTTACCAGTTTGTTAAAGGGCTTTCATTGGGTGACAAACTATTATCTATAGTTTTCTTTTACCATGTATTTTGAATCAATTGATAAGATGGTTGACATGAAATTTCATGATCATGTTTTCAGGATCCAAATGACCCAACAATTGGATTTTTGTTAGATGGAATGGATCACTTATGTTGCTTGGTACGCAAATACATTGCAGGTTAGATTAGCCTTATGTTTACTAATTTATACTGCATTAGAGAATATGTACTTTCTTTGGTCCATTATACAACAAGTAGGTGTATTTTTTTGTTCTAATTAATAAAATTATAGATCTGTTTTCAGATATATGAATTGCTAATTTTCTTTTATACCCTTAATTTATTATGAAGTCTATTAATAAGGCACTCCCTTATTTCCCATGCAATTTGATGCACTCATTGGCCTATTAACAAGTTGATGCTACACTAGCATTTCTTTTCTCTATAATTTATTTTTTATGGATGATTTGGTTGTTAAATGTTGTTTCATCTTGAGTGCAGCAATTCGAGGTTACTCATTATCATATCTTTCATCCTGTGCTGGAAGGATCCGGTTTTTACTAGGAACCCCTGGAATGGTGGCTCTTGATATTGATGCTAGCCTGAAAGGACTTCTTCAGCAGATTGTTCACCACCTTGAAAACTTGCCCAAACCGCAGGGTGAAAACATTTCAGCTATTACTTGTGACCTTTCGGTATGTGGGACATCTGTACTGGCCATTTTCTAATATCGTAAACGTTGGATGTATATGTTTCTGGATTACAGTTCATTATGATTGTTGATATAAATATGCATTTAGTTAATAATTATAACCAAGTTGCCACTTTTGTATAATTTATTTCATTCAGTATAACGTGTGCACATCATTTACTTATAAATGAAGTCATTGCTATGTTAAAGAAGAAATAGTTGAAATTTGTGCTTCAGTGCTAATGCAAAGGTTGTATGTTTGTATAGCTCTTTTAGTGTCAGAATCTTAGTTTCTAGTTTTTCTTTCTGTCATTTTTTCTTTATTTTCTAGTTATAGACACTTAATGGCTTAGAGTGTGCACTTAACACTTACTAGTGCTATTCTCAGGATTTTCGAAAGGATTGGCTATCAATTTTATTGGTAGTCACGTCTTCACGTTCATCTATAAACATTAGGCATTTGGAGAAAGCAACAGTTTCCACTGGCAAAGAAGGATTATTATCAGAAGGGAATGCTGCTTACAATTGGTCCAGGTTTGTTTGCCCAATTTTAATTTCCTTGCTACGCTATTTTGATACTCATTTGAGTAATTCATTAATCAAATGATTAAATCTGAGTCTTGAAAATACTCTTTCTCCCCCTTCCTCAAATCATTTATGAAAAGCATAAAAAAGAGAAAAAAAAGATTTACCATGGTATAGTCAAAATATGATGACCTTTTGTGTAAGATTGTATGATTTTACAATCATAAGTGTTGGCTGGAATTTTCCGAGATTGGTTTGGCAGCTGTGCAAAATTGTGGGTTGTAATGTCACCTAGCCTATCAAATCTTTTTATGTTTTTTGACCTGTGACCCAGAATGCTATGCTCCTGAAAACCCTAAATCTGCCAAAACAGACAACTGAACTTATCAATAGCGTAAATATTTATGCAGATGAACTTAATTTTGTTTGAATTAGTATATTCAATTAAGGAGTATGATGCTATATCTTTTCGTGTTGATTTCTTGCTTTCTGCCCTATAATTAAGTTGGTTTTGTATTCTCATTGTGTTAATCATATAGTTTCTCTTACTGTTAGTAACACACATATTCACAAGGACTCATCCCTGCCCTATTGTTGGACTCGGAGGATATTTTGATCTTCTGTTGTGTACTCGCTTCTCTTTTATAATTTATTTATATTACTGCTAGAGGGCCGTCATGTAGTATTATGTTTTTGGATTATAAATTGCTCACATGCCATATGAGTGTAAAAACAAATACCATAGCATAACAGCAGAGTTACAGCTTCTAGATAATTTGTCTATCTATAATAAATCAAAGAAACTCGAAGAGATAATTATGGCACAATGGTTCTATTTTATGCAGATGTGTAGATGAATTGGAATCCGTACTTTCAAAGCATGGTAGTCTTAGGAAGCTGTATTTCTACCACCAACACCTCACAGCTGTGAGTGCCCATATTCCACCCCCACTTTATTCATATCTAGGATTATGTCTACTTTGTATGATATGATATGACTTTAACCTTAGGGTATGGTACTTGTGTTGTGACTTTATTTTCCATTTTAACCCAAACTATGTTCTATAATAGGTTTTTAGAAACACCATGTTTGGACCAGAAGGGCGTCCTCAACACTGCTGTGCATGGCTTGGGATTGCTAGTAGTTTTCCCGAGTGTGCATCTCCAATTGTTCCAGAAGAGGTAAAAACAAATCCTTGCCAGTAGCTTTATTTGAATTGTCAAGTAGTGACCAAGATTAGTCAACCGTTACTAGCACATATTAATGGAGGCTTGGAGTTACGTTTTGCTTCTTCTTTTATGGTGGTATTTTGTTGCTTACTTGATCAGAAAATATTCAGAATGTTTGCTGCAATGCAATATTTTATTTTATTAATATTTGTGTTGAATGAAAATGAAGAAACTTTCCCAAACAATAATAAAAATAGAGCTAATGTTACTCGTGGATGTGTTAAAAGTGAATAATTTACATCTGGAAGGCTTCATACAATTTCTCAATAAGAAGGAAGTCTGAAATGTTCTGTTTGAAGCTACATTGTCACTGAGGGTTGGTGATGTCATTGAAAATCCAAACTTCTCTTACCTCATAGTCAAGACTCAGAAGTATAAATAATGGCATTACCATTGAAAAAGGAAACCTCATTGAATTAATAGTTAAGTAAACTACCATTTCCTACTTCATGATTGATCATTAGGTGTTATATGTTATTATAGCAAGATGTGGAAAATGTAAAACAAAGGTGGTAACTGTAAATTTTACTGCAAGCAGGTTACAAAAATTGGAAGGGATGCTGTCCTTTATGTTGAATCTCTGATTGAATCTATCATGGGAGGATTGGAAGGATTAATAAATATTCTTGACTCTGAAGGAGGATTTGGTGCCCTAGAGAATCAGGTAAATACTTTTAGTTAACAAGTTAGCTCCATTTCTGAAAACTAACCTTTGGATTTCATCAGCTTTTTCCAGAGCAAGCAGCTTCATATCTGAATCAGACGTCAAGAGTTTCCATTCCGTCATATAAATCTCCAAAAGGAACTGCTGGTTTTCCTCTACCAGGCCATGAGAGCTTTCCTGAAAATAATGGTTCTATAAAAATGTATATCATAATAATCCTGTCCTAAATTTGTATGAGTAACCACATAATTATATCCTCTTTAATTTGTCTCCTGTTTCTAATGACAGGTTAGAAGCTGCAATGCAGAGGCTGACCAATTTGTGCTCAGTTTTAAATGATATGGAGCCTATATGTGTTTTAAACCATGTCTTTGTACTTAGAGAGGTTAGGGATGAATTTTTATTTTCTTCCTCTTTTTTCTTCATGCAATTTACTTATCTCTTGAAAACAGTCTAAGTGCTATCATTTTCACAAAATTTATCCAGTAAGAAACTGTGTAGCATGGTTTAACTACAGTTAAATTAACTAAATCAGTATATGCATGATTGCTTTGATGTGCAAACCAAGGGAGAAGGATTGAAATACAGTAAAAATATGATAAAGATATTAGTGTACAGCAAATTGATGATAGAATGGAGAGAAATATGAACAAGGTGAGTCTTTCGTTAATGAAATTGTTGGAGATCTCACATCAATCTAGCCAACTTGTAATATGTAATTGAGGTGTAAACCTTACCTTAAAGTCGGTTTTGTACAATTGAGTTAAGCATCTCTAAATTTCTAATATGGTATCTGTTGAAAGTCCCACATCGCCTACCTCATGTCATTTGGTATGGTTTAAATACATGTTAGGCTACTCCACATATTGCCAATTGGTTTTATGTTGGAACCTTAACATGGTATCAGAGCCAAAGCCTAACATCTTTCCGGTTATTGTCATGGACCAAAAGTTGTCCTTTAGTTGGGTCAAAAGTACCCTTTGCCTGGTCCGGCAGGCTTCGTTGGAGAGGGTGTGTTGAAAGTCCCACATCGCCTACCTCATGTCATTTGGTATGGTTTAAATACATGTTAGGCTACTCCACATATTGCCAATTGGTTTTATGTTGGAACCTTAACAGTATCAAAGTCTATCTTAGTGAGATTTGTTGGCTTATCACTCCACTTATAATTGAGCCAATGTTGAACCACCTATTAATATTCAATTCCACGCTTTCGAGATGTTTATTCCTAAAGGTGTGTGTTGGAGATCTCATAGACTAGAGATATTGATATGGACAGAATAGAACTGGACATGATTAAAAAATTAATAGAATTTATAAAGATAATTTTGAGACATTTTTTATAACATAGGTTTTTGAGAGCTTGTCTCTCCACAATACAATTCCTTCCTAATTTCCTTTTTGTGTCGTTGTTAATCTGGATTACTTCTATTTATATTGTTTCTAACAACCGTTCCTAATTGATACAACTTTTCCTAATGGTTGTATCTCTATTCCAAGGGTTATGCCCCTTGATTCGCATCCCTTGAGTTTATACCCGTGGATGGGTTGTAATTGTTGGGTGTTTTTCATCCTTTGAGTGTTGTGTGCCCTGTGCTGATAGTCTAGGATTGTTGTTTCTTTTGTTCGTTTCTTGCGGGTGTATATCTTGGTGATAGGTGGTTTATTCTTATTAGATATGACTTATAATGTATAATTGAGGTGCAAATCTCGCCTTACAAGCCAATTTTGTAGGGATTGAGTTAGTTACTTCTTAATTTCTGATAGGAATATGAAAATGCACATTATTTTTTGGATATTGTGTCATGGAAACATACTACTAGTAAGGGATACGTTCACCTAGTTTATTACTTGATATTCAAAGTTTCTGAATAATGGAAAGTTATATAAGAAAACAGCCATAATGGTTGTAAAAGATGTTTTAAAGTAGAGCATAAGAGGTATCTCTATTTTGAAAAACAAAATTATGGAAAAGCAATGCTTAAATATCTGAATTTAATCTTATCTCATTTTCATTAGGCTGACTTCAAGATTCTTCTTTGAGAAATCTTATAACTATAATATAATTTTCATGAGGAGTCGTTCCTTGTTGATATATTGATTTTAGTAGGAATGCCTTTTATCTGCCTCTTTCACACCTTGGAGATCGAGCTTTGAAACTTTGTCCTACAGTGGTAGTAATCAAGGAAGAACAGTAGGGATATAGCCAAGAACAGTAAAATTTGAGGTGGATAATGAAACTTCAGGTCAAGAACCCTGGAGAGATTTCAGATGTGGAGTATTGTCATAATGGTACCTAAATCTGCTTACCAAAAGTTCCCTAGGTCCTTTAATTGGTAGAATTTAAAGCCAAAAGCCCTAGAAACCTGATATTCACACTACAATGGGTAGAATTTTGTGTAGGGGTGTAATTGGACATTGGTTGGAGTTAGATCCTCTAATATGGGTAGAATTTTGTGTAGGGTGTAATTGGTTCAGATTTGGATTGGATCCTCATAGAGAAGCTCTTATTTGTAAAAGGTAAAAGTTTTAGGGATCTCCATTATTCAATATGAACCAAACTCTGAGCTCTAGTTTGGGTTGGGCCAATCAGGTTCATGGGTTGATTCGTTCCCACTTACATTCCTGATTTAAGGGTCAAAGTGATTATAATATTCACCAAAAAGAAAAGTAAAGAATTAGATTTGCAGATATCCATGATCTCTTATCCCAATGTTTTTTTTTTCCTTTTTTCTTTTTTTATAAATTGACATAATACTATGTACATGAACATCCCAACTCGATGGCACCTCCATGCACACCAATCTTATCCCAATGTAGCATTTTATAGAATTATAAGTTATGATTATCTCAGCAATGGTTATCAATGTTGCACTCTACCCTTGAAGTGCACTACTCAATTTAGAGGATCCAGATCTATCATTAGTCATTTGTTCAAGTAGCAAACCAATGCATGAAATCCAAGTCTTGTATGCATTCACTCCCACTGTTACAAATTTTACTGTTCTAACCAAACATTGTTCATTCTGTCATTATTTTAACACATCAAATTGCTTGTTGTGCAGTACATGAGAGAATGCATTGTTGGCAACTTCAGAAGAAGACTGCTTGGTGTTCTGAAAACTGATAATGATCTTCAACGGCCTACGGTTTTGGAATCACTGATTAAGAGACACATTAGCATTGTTCATCTCGCAGAGCAGCACATTAGCATGGACATTACTCAGGGTATTCGTGAAGTTTTGCTTTCAGAAGCCTTTTCAGGACCAGTTTCTTCTCTGCACTTGTTTGAAAAGCCAACGGACCAACATACAGGATCAGCCACTGAATCTGTATGCAACTGGTATATCGAAAACATAATCAAGGATGTTTCAGGTGCTGGGATTTTGTTTGTTCCAATTCATAAATGCTTCAGGAGTACAAGGCCTGTCGGTGGATATTTTGCAGAATCAGTCACTGATCTGAGGGAATTACAGGCTTTTGTACGTATTTTTGGTGGATATGGAGTAGACAGGCTAGATAGAATGCTAAAAGAACACACAGCTGCTCTTTTAAATTGCATTGACACTTCATTACGTTCAAACCGAGATGTTCTAGAAGCAGTTGCTGCCAGTCTGCATGCTGGTGATAGAATTGAAAGAGAAGCCTCTATGAAGCAAATAGTTGATCTGGAAACTGTGATTGGTTTTTGTGTTCAGGCTGGCCTTGCACTGGCTTTTGATCGGCTACTAGCTGAGGCTTCTGGTGCTATACTTGAAGAAGGTGCTCCCTTGATTCATTCATTGCTAGCTGGGGTGGTTAAGCATCTACCTGATGGAGTACCAGAAAAGGAAGAAATAAGGAGAATAAGAACTGTGGCAAATACTGTAGGGGTTGTTAATGATCATGATTCAGTTTGGGTAAGATCTATTTTGGGGGAAGTAGGTGGTGCAAGTGATGGATCATGGGGCTTGTTACCTTACTTATTTGCCACATTCATGATGTCTAATATTTGGTCCACCACGGCATTTAATGTTGACACAGAGGGTTTTAGTAACAATATCCATTGCTTGGCAAGGTCAGTGTGCTTATGTTTTGGCTTAAATTGCATGGAATTTGTAAACACTGCAGTATAATACTTCAAAATGATTTTTGTTTGCACGGTTATAAATTAGTCCAATGCCAGTTTAACTTCCATACAGTAATTTCATTCCATTGCTTGGCAATATTTTTGAAGTCAAACTACCCTTTGTCGTTAGCATATACTAATTTTGGTATGTCTAACCCTGATCACATGATATCGTGCAGGTGCATTTCTGCAGTGATTGCCGGAAGTGAGTTTGTTAGATTGGAACGGGAACATCAGCATAGGCAGTCTTTAACAAATGGACATGTTAGTGAGGGAATGGATCCTGAATTATCAAGTCATATGTCAGCCGAAGCAAGTATTAAGTCCACACTGCAGTTATTTGTGAAACTCTCTGCAGATATCATACTGGATTCTTGGAGTGAAACACACAGGTAAATATATATATATATATATATATATATATATATATATAGGATCCATTTACTTCAAAAATAAAAGTTAGAGATTTATTTTTCAGTCTCACCATTGATTTTTTGGTTATATAATGATTAAGATAAATTATTATTTTAAATCATTACCAAAAAATAATAACGAGAATAAATAGTAAATTTTTAAGTTTTATTTTTAAAATAACTGGATCCCTCCTCTCTCTTTCTCTCTCTCTATCTATATATATAGATATATACACCCACATGTTTGAAAACTACACATATTAATTAGGTAGGAAATGTTGCAATATATTAAACCAGGAATGCATCAAAACTGTCTTCTCGGAAACATTATTCTTTCATTTTGTACTTTGTAGTCATCTTTGATATTTTTTATTTTGGTAATGCACAGGTCTCATCTTGTAGCACAGCTTATTTTCTTGGACCAACTTTGTGAGATTTCACCTTACCTTCCAAGAAGCTCACTGGAAACCCACGTTCCATATGCCATTCTCCGTTCAGTATACAGCCAATACTACGCTGACACTCAGTCCACTCCATTGGCAATATTGAACGCGTCACCCCGTCATTCACCTGCTGTGTTGCTAGCACATGCATCTCCTCCTGTCTTAAGGCATCCTCGTGGGGACTCACCACAGTACTATGGCCATGATTCTGGGTACTTCAAAGGAACATCGTCACATAGCCAGGAGCACCTCTATGATGCTGATATTGGCAGCTTAAGAAGCATGGACAACAAGCAAAGGAACTATCGTAGTTCTGGGCCTTTGGATTACAGTGCCAGCCGTAGTAGGGTCAAATCTGTTGAAGGTTCAACTTCTGGAAGCACTGGCCCCAGTCCACTTCCTAGGTTTGCAGTGTCTAGATCTGGTCCATTAGCATACAAGTAGTAAGTTGTTGGATACATAACCAAGAAAAGGTATTAAGTTATTCACCTTCTGCTAGTGATCATTTTTGTCTATAGCCGTAAATCATTCAGCAGGTTTGCAAAAATTTTAGAAAAATTTACATCATATACTAAAGCGTCCTTTTGTAGTCGCCTGGATAGATTAAATCAATGCCATATTAAGTCCGTGCTGTTGTAGCCAGAACCAGGTGTTCATTCTATTTAGTGCTCATATAGCCTAATCTTGATATCTTCCTTCCTTGAAGTCTGCTGGCAGAGAGGTATTCTGGATTTTGTAATGCAATCAGTAATGATATTTCCTCGTAAATTTATTTTTACGTCGCTACATTCTCAATTAATGCTTGCCTAATAAACTAAATTCGTTGTAAATTTGCACAGTCATGAATGAAATGTAGTAAATAAAACAAGGTATAGTCACTTTCACTCTTTTTGGTATTCCAAGGAAGACAGGTTGTGTAAGTCACCAAAACCAATCATAGGGTGACTGCCGAAGATTATACAAGACTTTTTAATCTATGCATCATATTCCTTTCTTCAAAGGCAAGATTTCTATGTAAACTTTTTCTTCTAAATTCCCATGTAGAAGATTATTTTTATATTAAATTGTTGTAGTTCCCAACCAAGATGTGCAGTTAGTGAGAGGAAGATCATAACTGTATTTATTTTTGCCACGATAGTAAATATTTCCATAAAATCAACATTGTAGATTTGAGTATATCTTATTTTAACCAACTTTGCTTTGTAGCGATTCAATGTACTATCGGACCAATATTTTACAGTGTAAATCCATCTACATCCTACAATCTTATTTTCTTGTGACCTATCAACCATCTCCCAAGTGGGAGAAAAACCATATTTGAGAGCACTTGTGGAAGTATTGCAAGGCTAAACACAGAAAGGAGTTACTTTATTACAAATATATTTTCATGATTCTTTTAAGATAATATAACCCTTTTTGTTCTGAACAATTCCAATCGTCCTCCCATGACTCTGGAAAACACACTGAGGTCATGAGTTGGGACCATTCAATCTTAGTTCAAATGAGTTGGGACCCATATTTAAAAGACGAAGAAGAGGGGATTTTGACACACTCTTCAGTTCAACCCAATGAGTTGGAACCTTTCCTTTCCATGAAGCTTAAAAGCACGTCTTTTTGGTGGGTCCAAATTTCTTACAATGAGAGCTACCAACTATCCTCCCTACTTTTTGAATTAAGCTTCATATTCCTAGAATTTGATGTTCTTGTTTAAAATATTTTCCAGAAAATAAGACAATACCTTGAGTGAAAGAATCATTCATCGTAACCATTATGCGTCTCTTCACCCCAAAATATAGAAGACCTTAGAAAGAGAAGAATGTCTTTCCTTGCTAAGAATGTAAGCCCCAAGAGAATTCAGGATTCAATCTTTCAATAACTTACAAAATTGAGACCTTTCAAGCTTCAAATTTTAATATTGGTCAAGTTTAATCCATGGGCCCTCCAACACCCTATAATAGTTACAACTAATAAAATACCTTGTTTACCTCTAAATATCTTAATTATTTATAAATTATAACTAGTAGAAATATATTCTCTCAGAGTAAGTATTTTAAAAATCATTTCAAATTTCTAACCAGTAGAGTAAAACATGTAAATTCAATTGTTCTATGTAGTCATGGACCTTTACCTCACATCCATGTTATGATCATTGAATTGTCATTATCCAAATTTGAAAATTAGCTGAATTGAGTTAAGTCTACATGTACTCTATAATATGATCTGATAGAACTGAGTTTACTAAAAATAATAATTCTTATTATTGAGACGATTATCATCATACAAATACGAAATATTAACATTTTATAATGGAGAAATGGTTGAACATGCACTAATAGTCATAATAATAAATATTTAAAAAAGAAGGAACACTGGACAAGAATTGAAAAGCATAGCCAAACAAATTCAAGTCAAGTCTTCTAGAAAGAATTCTGATCAAAATAAGAACTCTAACACGATAAAGATTGAAAAATGAACTTGCAACTTAAGAATACTTCAGGTAATCCTAAAAATCAATGAATGTATTTCGGACATTCACAACTAAAACTACTAGGATTAACATAACTCGTAAGATCGTGACTATAATCTAGAGAAAGATAAACAAAAATACTAAAGAAAAGAGCAAATGTAGATGTAATACTCTACAACACTTTAACTACCTTGGTATTAATAGCAAGATCTCAACTATCCTAATAGTAATTAATACAACTTGTACATTAATCAGAATATTCTCACTAACTTATGCATGTGTATAATTTTGACGGTTGATTTCAAGAAAATCTTGTTTATTAAAAAATATGTAGGTAAAGTCTCTGTATTTCGTTAAATGTTGTTCTTCCTCATAAACACATTGTATAATTACTTATACTATTAAAAATAAATGAACAATTATGAATTTGAGATCATGTGTTTTTCTTTCGACCATTATAAAGAAAATAAAGGAAGAAAACGTGACAAGATGATAGAACTTTTGTGTGCGTGAGATTTCCTAATAGTGATTAGCATCTTCGAATCAACAAGTTACCAAAAGCTTCAGCTATTCAGTTAAGTACAAGAAGCAAGAAACAAGTTCTCAGGAAAACAAATATCCTTCTAATACAATCAATCACTCATCCTCCTCGCATATGTGCACCTAGCTCACCAAACTGATCATCCGCCTCCACTGTATCTTCAGATAGCCGCACAGCATCCAGCTTCTGTTTGAGAATTTCTATGGCATTTAGAACTAATTGAGAAGCTTTAATTGCTCCAGTAGATTCAACTGTGAATATGAAGCTATCCTGCTTTGCAATGATTTCCACAAGCCCAGGCTTCCCCATGGCTTCTGCTTTCTTAATCACCTCATCATCATACGAGTATGCCTCAGAGTCAACCACCATTACCTAATAAATGCCCAAAAAAACACATTTGATTTTCCAAGATGGAAAAGTCAATGTTTTAGTTCGACAATGCATAATATTTCAAAGACGAATTCACTACAATAAAACAAATTGAAACTAAAATGGATATTAACTACTAAGTTTAAGTACAATATCAACATTAATAACATCACTTCAAAATAGACAATCTCTTGAAAGCACCACTCATTTGTCTTGGTTTTTACCCACCCCGCCCCAACCCAGTAAAACAACTGTTTTAAGGGTAATAAAGGCACTTTACTGGTACAAATGATTGCTTCTTGGACCTTGATTGTGGCTACAAAAGCCACAAAGGCAAAACGCACCGCAAAAAGATTCTCTGCTGCAGTAGCACAATAATAATGACTCTGCTTCAGTTATTGCATTACTCGCAAAATCGTTTCTACAAGAAATTGAAAAAACCTTCCAGAATGATACGTTGTTCACTGCCCCCATGTTTTTCAGGTTTGACAGAAGAATTTGGTTTTACATTACCTGAGATTGGAGCTCGGAAGTGATGGAGGCTACAGTTCCTTGATATTAGAAGTTATGGAGGCTATCTAAAACAGCTTTCCTGACTCCAAAATATTAATGACAAAAGGCATAAAATTAAAGGGTTACAAGAGCTCCAAGTTCATGTATATTGGATACACAGGAAGTTATGCAAAACATTAGTTCTCTAATGTTTATGCACTGGAAAACATATATATTATTTTCCCGGTGGCAGCTAGCTTGACCTTAATATAAAGAATGTCGCCTCTTAATTACTGCACGGGCCTTATCAATGTGTTTACTTTATTCACAAGCAGTATTATGCATTCAAAGCATCAACTTACTAGTGTCAACATTGAACACACAAAGAAAACAGGCGTAAGTACCTCTAATTGCACATTGTTCTCCACGTTAATCCAAATGGTTGACGAGACAGCATGCAATGCTCAGGTTAAGGGATTAGCATAAACTTGCAAATTTAATCAGACATAATTGCATGCATATACGATTAATTCCAAAAAGCAATATACTCAAGTGATCAAACAAACTACAATTTAATCACCAAACACAAAACAAATGCTACGTAATTTTTTAATTCTACCTAGAATATGGATCAAATAACAACAGTAGCAAGAACATAACCAAATTCATGAGAAAACAAATGAGAAGAACCCAAACCTGTTGTGTTACTGGATCAATGTCAAACACACGTGTAGGACTGCTGTCAACCCATTCTCTTTTCTCCTCAAGAGTCAGTGTCTCCATCAAGTCCTCATTGATATGAATCTCTGGTTCATACATGAAAGTGACGGTTGCAGCAGGTGACCATTTGGCATGATCTTTGCCAATCCCCTTCCTAGCTATCGCTCTCAGCCTCAGCTCTTGTCCTCGCCTCAACTTCACAATGATAACCCCTCTGAACCCACACAATTCAAAAGGAAGAATACCCATTTAAACAAAGAAAATACCATCTAGAGAACAAAGAAAACCCATACTACAAAAACAAAAAATTAGTTGAGAATGAAGAAAACACACTTGAAAACCCCAAATACCCGGTTGAATGAAGTAAAAATCCCATTTAAAAATATAGGGTTTAAAACAATATAGAAGAAAAGTGTCCACCTGTTCTCGGAAGAATCAGTGGCAGCAGGGTCAGAGAAATCTACAGGGACGACCGAATGGTCAGAACTGTAGAGGTCTTTGCTAGAGACATCGAGGGTTTGATCAGTCATACACTTAACCCTAAGGTGAAACTCCACGGAACAGAATTCACACTGACCGTCCCCGTCACACGCGTCGCAGTCACGTGAGAAGCGCATGGACATGGCTCGCTCACTCGTGAGCGGGATGAGGCCGAGTCTGTGCGCTATGAACTCGTCGTTCAGCACCGAAGAATTCACCTCTATCTCCACCAGATCGATTGCAATTGTCGGCACCTCCGCGATCATCACGCGCCGCAGCGCGTTCGCGATACTCGCATCTGTGTCCCGGAGCTCGAACTTAGCGTAATCGTCCTTCAGCTCACGGATTTTCACCCTCGGCATGCGCGCATAAGAAGCACCTTCCATCTTCCTCACTCTCCCTCTGCTCTTCCTCTCTCTCAGACAACACCGGAAATTGTAAAAACCCTTCTCAAAACCCACATTTGTTTGTGTTATTGTTGGATTTATTATGGTCGCAGACATATTATAATTATTAATAAATTTTAAATTAATAATACATATTATAATATGAGTATAATAAACATTATATTTTTATATATTTAATATATATATATATATATATATAAAGAAAAAAATTGAAGTATTTATTTTATAAGTCACTTATTATAAGTAGCGATTTTTTTTTTGTTATATTTCATGTATATTATATAAAAAATATTTTATACATAAAAAAATACTATTAATTTATATTCAATTAAGATTTTAAAATTTAAATTTCATGTTAAAAATTGTAACAAAATTTTGAGTTGATTTTTTTTATCTAACCGAACTAAACATTTTACTGAAAGAGAAAATTAAAACTATCTGATATTTAAGTTAAAATATTATTTATTATTTATTATATTTTATATTAAATTAAATAAAGTTTTCAAAGATATTAAATATAAAAAATGAAAAGTTAAAACTATATCTATAGAATTTATCATATAATGTATATAAATTTTTTATATAATATATTTTTTAATAGATCTCGTACGTTGTCTTGTCTTTATAAAAGACCATTTAAAAAAATTAAATATTCTCCCAGATTACATAATATTTATACAACTATAAAATACAAATCTAATTTCAATATAAATTTTAGATTATTATTTTTTTACCTTTTCATATATTTATTTTTATTTTTATGCCTCAAATAGAATTGTCTACGTCGAATAAGCTAGGGAAAAAAATTAATTAGCAGCCAGTGAATGGTGCAATTCTTCCAAGCACAATGAATAGTGAGGTATTCAAAATTAGAAAATGTTAGAGAAAAATCAGAACCTTACATATTTATTTTTAACTTAAAAAACGGTGAGTCAATTAATTTTAATCCAAATTCAAGATGCATTCTTATTTTTAGTTGGAGAGATTCATCTGAGGACGAAGTTTATAATCCCCATTGAAAGCTTAAGTGACCTGTGAGTTCCTTGAATTTTACCTTCACTTGGGAGGATTTCTCATTCTTAAAAAAATATAGCTAGTGTTCTTCTCTTTATTTATTTCCCACCCTTGATTTTTGTTTTGTTTTTTTTCTTTACAACTGATGTAAGAGGACAGACCTCCAGGCCTTCAACATTATGGAAACTTTCTTACCCTTTTCTGGGTGTATGCAGAGGTCGGTGGAGGAGAACAAATTTTGACTAGAAGAATAGTGCTTTCCTACAAAGAACATGAGGAAGCAATAACAAAGACAACATAACTGGCAGATTAAGAGAAGTCAGATTATGAATTTTCAAACTTTCTGGTATCAGTAGTTCTCTGTACTCTTGGTCATTGAGAGGAAACAATTGCATCTTCATATATATATATATATATATATATATATATATATATATATATATATATATGCACTCGCCACTGTAGCACAATACATCCAAGATATATCATTCGCAATGTCCATTGGAATCACAATGCCTTGAGAAAAGGACACTCCTGTGTTGTGTCCTGTCGTTGCTAACTGTAATGTAACAGCTTTGAATAATAAAATGATCACATGCTTAGCGCATATGGTGCCTGCACAATGCAAAACGAAAAACAATCAACTGATATAATGGATCTGAGTCACCTATACTTTACAGAAGAGTTCACCAAACATCTTAACTAACCTACCTTAGAGTCTCTTTTGTACCACGGCGTATTTTGCAACGGATGGTGGGGAGTCCAAGGCGTTGGTGAGCCTCATAGCGATGACAGCCAGAGAAACCTACAAACCAAAGGCAAAGGATATATTAAGTTTCACTGTAAGAATGCATGGATAAAGGATGGATGTTGAAAACATTGATTTTGTTGTTGGTGGGAATCTTATAATTTTAATTGTGAGCAGCATGACCAGGTAATATCATTAATAAAATTATAAGATTCCACAAACAATCCAGAAAAGCACATACCATAATAGACTCCATCAACTTCCAGGACATCAATCTGCATCACTTAAAGAAACTCAAATTAACAGTTCAGCAATATATTTCATGAACCAGAAATTTATTTAATAATAATGGTATTGTAGTCAGTGAAGACCTGCCATCAGTAACCGGTGTTAAATTTGTCACTTTCCTCACTTTCTTCGGAGTAATTGTACTATTCACCATTCTACTCAAAATATATTATAAGGGAAGCATCTCTCTTATTATCCTCTAAATTGAATCTCAGCTTAATACGGCTGTGTGAAGCCAAACAAGATTAATACCAGATCGTTGAAATGATATTTTTATTTTCTTGTAAAAGTCATGATCTAGTGAAAGTTCTCTTAATCAAAGTAGATGCCTATACAGTATCCACTGTATCAAGGAATCATCACAAAGGGCCAATCTGCCAAAAATACAAGAATTGGAATCAAAATGTGTCTTCAGGATGTTGGATAGCCTTACCCTCTAAGAGAAGTCAAGCTTAAAGGCATAATGGAATGAAAAACATGACCATTTTCACTGGTCAAGACAACGCTTCCTTTTCAACTATATTATGGATACTTAAGTGGATCAACTCTATAGATTGAGAGACAAATCTATAAACTTACTCTTAGAAGAGATAGATATTGTATAATTTCGAGGCTTAAGGTAAACAAAGATCCTTGTAGAACAACTCATGAGAGAAGGTTGATGATTAAATTTATCAAGAGGAACTATGTGCTTATGTAGGACACTGAACAGAAGCTTTGGGCAGCAAGGATTTTCAAAGTGTTAGCCCTAGAGATGAGATGAGACAGTAGTTTGCAATTATAGAGAATATTATCAACAAGCACGTTTTCCTCTTACAATCCTCATCAGACACTAAGAGAAGTTGTTAAAACTAAGAGAAGTATCAAAACAGATGTGGATTCTCATGACTACACATTATTGACCTCTTTCGCTGTCGTGAGAATCCATTTGTGTCCATCTATTTTGTTATTTCTCCTAGTTTTCACAACTCCATCTCAGACATATGGTTTCATAAAGGTTGTAAGGGAAAACTAGCTCCTTGATTATATCCTCTGTAATTGCAAAATACAATCTCTTTTCTAGTGTCACTATTGTGATTATCCTTGCTAATGCTTCATTTTAGTGCCCTTCATAGCTGCAAAATTCACAAGTAAAAAATGAAGGCAAGTAATCAATCATCACAACTCTCAAAATATCCAACACAGAAGTTTGTTCCTCTTGATAATTTCAATCATTTACCTTCTCTCATGAGATGCTCTCGGAAGATGTCATGTTTGCCTCAGACCTCAAAAGTACACATCCTCTATCTCTTCTAAGGGTAAGTTTCTATATTCGTTTGTCAATTTAGAGAGTTGATCCATGTAAGTGTTCATAATACAATTGCAAAGTAAACATTGTCTTCACCATGGATGTTGTTCATGTTTTTCATTCCATTCATGAATCGTTGTTATGCCTTAAAGCCTTTTAAGCTAGTCTTCTCTGAGATGAGGGTAAGGCTCTCCAACATTTGTGAAGACACATTTAGGCCATGCATGATGTCTTTTGAAATAGGCCTTGGTGATCATTCTATTAAAAGTTCCATGCAAGTTGAACAAACTGGTTCCCTCTATGGGTATCTCTTACTTGATTTTGTCCTGAACAGACCTCCCTGACGCCACTGCATCCACAGTTGCTAACCTAGCTCGAACATAGCCCCCCAATCCCTAGAGTCTCAGTTCTCTTCTACTCCTTAGTCTTCACCTTAGGGGTTATGTTCTAATACACTTATATGTCTCATATTATTTAAAAGTTGAGATTAAGAATAGTTTATATATACTCTCATCTCTTAATCTACCGAGACGTCTTTTAAAAATAAAATCGTGACAGACTAGAATTTTAAAACAGACAATATCTTTAACGTGGTAAAGAATCTTAATGATGTTATTATAATAGAGATGAGGTCAGAATAGTCTTGTTCTTAGATAGAACAATTTTTAAGATCCCTTATTCCATATATCAATATATATTGATAGGGTTTTGTGTTCCCTGCCATATCTACCTATTGCTGAAGTTAATTTACTATCATGACTAGTAATATATAAGAAAAATAGATATTAAGGATTGAGAAAAAATTTACTTAATCCCTAGAAAAATAATTCATTTTATGAACAGAATTTGCTAGCATCATATATTTTTTAATAATTAAAAATGAACATTTTCTTCATTTGAACAATAATTTGTATATGGAAAAACATTGCATATTTCATAATGACTTGGTTATGATCACATTTTCCCTTTTCTGCGGGATTACATCAATGCAAGTGTTTGACTTCAGAAAGATCAGGATGTGAGGAAATGAAGTTTCACCACCCTCTTTCATAGTTACAAGAAGCCAACATCTACTCAGCAACACTTCTATAATTCTTTTTTTGATCCAAAAAGGCACTTATTTTAGATACACAATCAATAATTTTTCACTTAATATTTCCAAAAGTGGCTTCACTATCGTAATTGGTTCAGATAATAGCCCATTAACAGTTTGGAGTGGGAACGCAGATATTGCTATTCTAATTTTTAGGTTGTGTGCTTTCACGTATGTTTTGTACTCTCAGACAATACCTTCTCAATAGACAAAGAAAGAAGCAATTAAAGCACATAAAGTCAATTCAAACTACATCCAGTGGATCTTCAAAACACATAAAAGCGAACATCCCTACCTTCACTTTCCCATAAACCCAACTAAGGCAAACCCAATATAGCAGAAACAAAAAATAAACTCCTAAGGCAATGGCAGAGATTTTAAACATAAACCAGCAAAAGGGAGGAAGTGGTTACAGGCACTTGAAGACCAATTTCCTTGATACTATCCATTAAATCCTTAACTTTGTTGGGATCATTTGCTCTGGTCCTCATCAAAGGCCTTCTAATCTTATCCAGAGGAATTTCCAATATCACAGGACCTCCACCTCCACCACTACTGCTTCCAGAACCACCAGGTGGAGCTCCTAAATATTTATATAAAACCATTTGAAATTGAAACAGAGAATAAAAAATACACAATTTTAACCGACAGAAAGAAACATAGAGGGAGTATTGCACCGTTGGGGTTGGACGAAGCAAACGCAGTGAAACTCCTCAATGTATTTGGAACCTGCAGAACAAAATTTGCCATTTTACTTCCTTTTCTTCTTTCCACCAAGGGTTTTATTTTATTTCTTTTATGGTTCTAAATATATAGTCAGAATTTTGAGAACCGGAGAATCTGATGATGGCTATCACAACACAAGCATGGCCCACCAAATTCAACGACCAAGATTGTTCTTTTACAAGCTATGCGAAGGCCCTCCTACACAGAATTCACTCTACAACTTGGTTAGAGATTTTCGCTGAAGAATTGATTAATCACAATTTTCAACTTCACTGGGAACCATGGTAGCGATCGCTTCTTTCTCTCGTTGGCGTGTAGAAACACTAGTCATTCTCGAAATGGCATTAAGCGTCCTAATTATTTAAGGCCTACTTTTTTTATTTATATTTATAAATAATTTTTTTTAATTATTAAATGACAAAATTTATTACGATATACTATAATACTTAGTAAGTCTACACAACCTTAAAATAAATATTCATACTCTACTTAAAGTATGCCATAATATCATTTTTTTTTCAAACAAATACATATTTTTAAATTATTTTTGAAGTACATATAACTATTGTTATTGCTGATTTTAAGAAATAAATAAATAATAGGTGATAAGGTGAGACATTGTTTTTTATATTAGTTAGAATATCATAGTTGACATTATAGTAGATGGATCAATGAGATTTTGGTTTAAGGCTATTATAGACAAAGGTAGGTTCAATTCCTAAAGATCAAATATTTTTGTTCATAATGATTGTAAATTATATAATTATTTCATAATGATTTAATTTATGATATTATTGGATTTTAGTAACGGATAACATCGTTTTTGAGTTTAACTAAAAATATATTCGAGAGTATGATATTATTTTTAATTTAAAACTTCAAAACATTCTATTCAGTATTTTTCACTTATATATTATTTAGTTTCATTATTTTTATCAAATATAAAACATCAACTCACTTGAATTTTGAATTAAATATTTTTCCAAGAAAAAAACTTGATGATAAAAATTTAAAAGTATGTATTTATTAGTGTAAGTGAAATATCTTATCCATATAAATTATTAATCTTTATAAAAAATATTGTTAGTAAATTTTTTGTAAATTAGTATTATTAGATAAAAATGATGAGAAATAATATACTTTAATCCTTTTGCATTTGAAAGAATAGTTTCAATAATCATTGAAACTTCTTCTATAAATCATAATAATAATAATAATAAATTATCTCCTCGCATAAGAGAAATATCAGCTTGGATTGATAATTTTTTAAAATTAAAAATTCTAATCTAATTACTCATTTTGCTTTAGTGGTAGATTACAAACTTACAACATATAAGTGTTGTGAAGGAATATAAGTGTGTCAAAAAGAATAACCGGTAAAATTGATGTCATTAAAAGAAAGGATATTACAAACAAATTTAAAAGTAAAAAAAGAAGTTAAAAACTGTAAAGAAGGATTCATATTCTTTTTCCTTTGCCGGCTCATCTCCTAGCTTTTTTTCGATTGGATGATGACTTTTTTTCCTACAACTCTGCTTTTAATGTTTTTGTTATTTATTACTACTTTTAGCCAAGAAAAAAACTCTCTCATGGCTTGAAAATTTTGAACCTCAAAGTTTTCGCACGCTCTATTTTCTTTTATTGTAACATACTCGTGAAAAGTTACGTGTAATTTGATTTTTGATACTGAAATTTAATTTGTTGTGTTTTGGATTTGAGATATAAAATAGAGATAGTTTTCATGGGAATCATTATTGAAAATTCCTTGTGTTGGTAGATATGATGGTAAATTTTCGTTAGTTTTTAGATTTTTTTAGTATTATTTTTCTTTTAAGTGAAATAGCCCTAGTATTTTTGTAATTCTGTGGATGATAGCATAATCATTTTGATGGATTTTCAAAATCTTAAGTTGGAGGTTATGAGTTTGTCATCTATCTTTATAATACAACGACCGAATTTTCCATGCAAAACACTTTGTCGATGATTCGAGAAATTGATGGAGATTGTATTCTAGAAATCCAAAAAATGGGAAGGGCAAAAAGGTATACTTCAAACATAAATTTATATGTTTATAATTCATTATAATGACTTTTATTTGTTAGGTGTGATGCTGGATTGAAATAAGTTCTATTTTTTCAAGATACCAATGGGCTTCTCTTTAAGGATAGTTATTTTGTCATTTTGTACTTTCTAAGTTATAATTGAAATACACTTCTCTAGTTTTGTTTATTAATATATTTTAAATATTCATCATTGCCTAATAATTTGAGAATACAGGTAATTCCAGGAAGTCAATATACTTCCACACAGTACCATGCTAACTCTCTTGTAAATTGTAATACCTTAGAAAGCAAAAAAAGCTATTGGTGGAATTACCAGACTCACTCACTCACTCTTGTGATAAACTAATTGTTTCAATCCTTGTAGACAAAGAAAATTGTGTTGACTCTGGAGTGATTATTATTTATGTAAGTGAGAATAGTACATATATTATTATTTATCATAACTATTTATCATATGGAAGGTGGTAGATAGGAATAGTTGGTGGAAGAAAGATGATTTATATGATTGAATTTGATATTGATATACTTCATACAGTGAAAATAAAGATAACACTCAACACTCAGTAACCCAAAAATAAAGACAAGTAGAAGGAGGGTTAGGAGGTGAGTGTTTCGATGTATAGTTGCCACACTTGATGGAATTCAAGAGATGATTCATGGAAGGAATGACCCTCGTGGAGAGAGAAACGATGCGGTTGGTTTAGAGTGAGAGTTTAGCGAATGAGGCAAAGTTTGTAATCGCAGATGACAGTGCTTCGGGTTCAAGGACACTCTTCTCTTCTCAATGACAATACCACGCGTCACTTTCAACTCCATACTTCCACCTCAGCACACACCTCAATGGTGTCAAATGGAGGGATGTTGAATAACCGGGTGTTCGCGTAACATTTTCGTAAATTATGCGTTAGAAAATTATGTGATATTCTTCTACATTGTAGTACCATTGATGTAAAATAAGATAAAATTAAAATAAAATTGTGAAGTTAAATATAATAAATGGTTACAATGATTACATAGAAATTTATTCTCCAATTTCAAGAAATGACATAATAATAAGATTAATGATTAATTTAGAAACTTTTATTAAATTAAAAGAAAAAATTTCGTTATTTATAAGAAACTAAATATTTTGGATATTTTTTTATGAAAAAGATACAAAAAAATTATTCATAATATTATATAAGTGATTAAGAGGATAGAATAAATATTTTTGGTTATGTGTTATTTTAGAAAAAATCAATTTATTATTTTGTCATATACCAAACTAAATTTATTAGTCTTCTAATATTTGTATGTTATTTATATATATTCTATTATTTGAGTAAAAGAGAATTGACGAATAAATTAATTTCACATGATAAAACGTGATCACGGTATTGAGATAGTTTAATATTAGTGTGATCTGAACCGAGGAGGAATTTACCTCAAAATTAAATGAAAATACAACTCGTTTAGGTAGGTGGAAACTACTTTTGAGAAGAGAAAGTGATGGAGGACTGTCTCGAGCCATAAGATATTAGGTCTCATCACATTGAGCTCGAACACATTAGGCTTCAAATAAGGTTCAAATTTGAAGGGGTTGTACTTAAGGTTCAAGTCTTGATTACAATAAAAAAGAATATATCATTTTAACTTCTCAAAATTTAAAAAGAAACTGGTTCTTTAAAAAAATCCATTTGTTATTTTGTCATACAACAAACTAAATTTATTATTCTTCCCACATGTGTATGTTATTTATATAATTTCTATTATTTGAGTAAAAGAGAACTGATGAAGAAATAAATTTCACGTGACAAAATGTGATCATGATATTCGAGATAGTTTAACTATTAAATTATCAAAAACTATTTTATGCAACCCCGATTGAGACCCATGATATTATTTATAAGAAAGCTAAAGGTAGGTGGAAATTGAGGACCATGATTGAGACCCTGATTGAGGAATTTACCTCAAAATCAAATGAAAATACAACTGCTTAGGTAGGTGGAAAATGTTTTTGAGAAGAGAAAGTGATGGAGGACCATCTGGTCCATAACATATAGAATCTCATCACATTGGGCCTCAACACACTAGGCTTTAAATAAGGCCCAAATTTGAAGGGGTTACACTTAAGGTTCAAGTCTTGATTAGAATAAAAAAAAAAGGAATAAATCATTTTAGTTTCACAAATTTTAGAAAGAAATTGGTTCTTTAAAAAAATCCATTTATTAATTTTTCATACACCAAACTAAATTTATTATTCTTCCCCCATGCATATGTTATTTATATATGTTTTATTATTTAAGTAAAAGACAACTGACGAAGAAATAAATTTCAAGTGACAAAATATCATCACGGTATTCAGATAGTTTAACTATTAACTTATAGAAAAATATTTTACGCAATCCCTGATTGAGACACATGATATTATTTTTTAAGAAAACTAAAGGTAGGTGGAAATTGAGGACCATGATTGAGACCCTGATTAAAAATTTACCTCATAATTACATGAAAATACAACTTTTTAGGTAAGTGGAAAATGGTTTTGAGAAGAGAAAGTGATGGAGGACCGTCTGGGCCATCACATATTGGGTCTCATCACATTGTGCCTCAACATACTAGGCTTCAAATAAGGTCCAAATTTGAAGGGGTTGCACTTAAGGTTCAAGTCTTGATTACAATAAAAAAAGGAATATATCATTTTAGCTTCTCAAATTTTAGAAAGAAATTGTTCTGTAAAAAAAATCCATTTGTTAATTTTTCATACACCAAATTATATTTATCATTCTTTTGACATGTGTATGTTATCTATATATGTTCTATTATTTGAGTAAAAGAGAACTGACGAGAAATAAAATTCACGCGACAAAATATGATCACGGTATTCAGATAGTTTAATTATTAAATTATCGAAAACTATTTTATGCAACCCTTGATTGAGACCCTTAGTATTATTTATAAGAAAACAAAAGGTAGGTAGAAATTGAGGACCATGTTTGAGACCCTCATTGAGGAATTTACCTCAAAATCAAATGAAAATACAACTTCTTAGATAAGTTGAAACTGGTTTTTAGAAGAGAAAGCGGTTGAGGACCATCTCGGGTCATAACATATTGGGTCTCATCACATTGAGCCTCGAACACATTAGGCTTCAAATAAGGTTCAAATTTGAAGGGGTTGTACTTAAGGTTCAAGTCTTGATTACAATAAAAAAGAATATATCATTTTAACTTCTCAAAATTTAAAAAGAAACTGGTTCTTTAAAAAAATCCATTTGTTATTTTGTCATACAACAAACTAAATTTATTATTCTTCCCACATGTGTATGTTATTTATATAATTTCTATTATTTGAGTAAAAGAGAACTGATGAAGAAATAAATTTCACGTGACAAAATGTGATCATGATATTCAGATAGTTTAACTATTAAATTATCAAAAACTATTTTATGCAACCCCTGATTGAGACCCATGATATTATTTATAAGAAAGCTAAAGGTAGGTGGAAATTGAGGACCATGATTGAGACCCTGATTGAGGAATTTACCTCAAAATCAAATGAAAATACAACTCGCTTAGGTAGGTGGAAAATGTTTTTGAGAAGAGAAAGTGATGGAGGACCATCTGGTCCATAACATATAGAATCTCATCACATTGGGCCTCAACACACTAGGCTTTAAATAAGGCCCAAATTTGAAGGGGTTACACTTAAGGTTCAAGTCTTGATTAGAATAAAAAAAAGGAATAAATCATTTTAGTTTCACAAATTTTAGAAAGAAATTGGTTCTTTAAAAAAATCCATTTATTAATTTTTCATACACCAAACTAAATTTATTATTCTTCCCCCATGCATATGTTATTTATATATGTTTTATTATTTAAGTAAAAGACAACTGACGAAGAAATAAATTTCAAGTGACAAAATATCATCACGGTATTCGCATAGTTTAACTATTAACTTATAGAAAAATATTTTACGCAATCCCTGATTGAGACACATGATATTATTTTTTAAGAAAACTAAAGGTAGGTGGAAATTGAGGACCATGATTGAGACCTCGATTAAAAATTTACCTCATAATTACATGAAAATACAACTTTTTAGGTAAGTGGAAAATGGTTTTGAGAAGAGAAAGTGATGGAGGACCGTCTGGGCCATCACATATTGGGTCTCATCACATTGTGCCTCAACATACTAGGCTTCAAATAAGGTCCAAATTTGAAGGGGTTGCACTTAAGGTTCAAGTCTTGATTACAATAAAAAAAAGGAATATATCATTTTAGCTTCTCAAATTTTAGAAAGAAATTGTTCTGTAAAAAAAATCCATTTGTTAATTTTTCATACACCAAATTATATTTATCATTCTTTTGACATGTGTATGTTATCTATATATGTTCTATTATTTGAGTAAAAGAGAACTGACGAGAAATAAAATTCACGCGACAAAATATGATCACGGTATTCAGATAGTTTAATTATTAAATTATCGAAAACTATTTTATGCAACCCTTGATTGAGACCCTTAGTATTATTTATAAGAAAACAAAAGGTAGGTAGAAATTGAGGACCATGTTTGAGACCCTCATTGAGGAATTTACCTCAAAATCAAATGAAAATACAACTTCTTAGATAAGTTGAAACTGGTTTTTAGAAGAGAAAGCGGTTGAGGACCATCTGGGTCATAACATATTGGGTCTCATCACATTAGGCCTCAACAAACTAGCATTCAAATAAGGCTCAAATTTGAAGTGGTTGCACTTAAGGTTCAAGTCTTGATTACAATAAAAAAGAAATATATCATTTTAGTTTCTCAAATTTTAAAAAGAAACAGGTTCTTTAAAAAAATCCATTTGTTATTTTGTTATACACCAAACTAAATTTATTATTCTTCCGACATGTGTATGTTATTTATATATTTTCTATTATTTGAGTAAAAGAGAACTGACGAAGAAATAAATTTCACGTGACAAAATGTGATCACGGTATTCAGATAGTTTAACTATTAAATTATCAAAAACTATTTTACGCAAACCCTGATTGAGACCCATGATATTATTTATAAGAAAGCTAAAGGTAGGTGGAATTTGAGAACCATGATTGAGACCCTGATTGAGGAATTTACCTCAAAATCAAATGAAAATACAACTGCTTAGGTAGGTGGAAAATGGTTTTGAGAAGAGAAAGTGATGGAGGACCATCTGGTCCATAACATATTGGATCTCATCACATTGGACCTCAACACACTAGGCTTTAAATAAGGCCCAAATTTGAAGGGGTTGCACTTAAGGTTCAAGTCTTGATTAGAATAAAAAAAAGGAATAAATAATTTTAGTTTCGCAAATTTTAAAATGAAATTGGTTCTTTAAAAAAAATCCATTTCTTAATTTTTCATACACCAAACTAAATTTATTATTCTTCCACCATGCATATGTTATTTATATATGCTTTATTATTTAAGTAAAAGAGAACTGACGAATAAATAAATTTCAAGTGACAGTATCATCACGGTATTCACATAGTTTAACTATTAACTTATAGAAAAATATTTTATACAACCCCTGATTGAGACACATGATATTATTTTTTAAGAAAACTAAAGGTAGGTGGAAATTGAGGACCATGATTGAGACCTTGATTGAAAATTTACCTCATAATTAAATGAAAATACAACTTTTTAGGTAAGTGGAAAATGGTTTTGAGAAGAGAAAGTGATCAAGGACCATCTGGGCCATAACATATTAGGTCTCATCACATTGTGCCTCAACATACTAGGCTTCGAATAAGGTCCATATTTGAAGGGGTTGCACTTAAGGTTCAAGTCTTGATTACAATAAAAAAAAAAGAATATATCATTTTAGCTTCTCAAATTTTAGAAAAAAATTGTTCTTTAAAAAAAATCCATTTGTTAATTTTTCATACACCAAATTATATTTATCATTCTTTTGACATGTGTATGTTATTTATATAAGTTCTATTTTTTGAGTAAAAGAGAACTGACGAGAAATAAAATTCACGTGACAAAATATGATCACGTTATTCAGATAGTTTAATTATTAAATTATCGAAAACTACTTTATGCAACCCCTGGTTGAGACCCTTGGTATTATTTATAAGAAAAGAAAAGGTAGGTGGAAATTAAGGACCATGTTTGAGACGCTCATTGAGGAATTTACCTCAAAATCAAATGAAAATACAACTACTTAGATAAGTTAAAACTGGTTTTTAGAAGAGAAAGTGGTGGAGGACCATCTTGGTCATGACATATTGGGTCTCATCACATTGGGCTTCAACAAACTAGCCTTCAAATAAGGCTCAAATTTGAAGTGGTTGCACTTAAGGTTCAAGTCTTGATTACAATAAAAAATGAATATATCATTTTAGTTTCTCAAATTTTAGAAAGAAACTGGTTCTTTAAAAAAATCCATTTGTTATTTTGTCATACACCAAACTAAATTTATTATTCTTCATACATGTGTATGTTATTTATATATTTTCTATTATTTGAGTAAAACAGAACTGATGAAGAAATAAATTTCACGTGACAAAATGTGATCACGGTATTTAGATAGTTTAACTATTAAATTATCAAAAACTATTTTACGCAACCCTTGATTGAGACCCATGATATTATTCATAAGAAAGCTAATGGTAGGTGGAAATTGAGGACCATGATTGAGGAATTTACCTCAAAATTAAATGAAAATACAACTGCTTAGGTAGATGGAAAATGGTTGAGAAGAGAAAGTGATGGAGGACCATCTTGGCCATAACATATTGGGTTGAAGCACTTGGTGAATTTGATGAAGACATATTCGTGTTGGTATAGTTTAGTTTGTGGGTGTGTAGAGGGATAAGTTAGAAGTTTAGGAACTTAATCTCTTGATAGGCAAATAAATCTTGTGATAAGCGCCTTAAAATGATGCATCTCATTGAAATTATTTTTCTGCATGAAAAACTAACATTTAAACATTAAAAGAACAAACTAAGTTTTTTCAATCTGTTGAAAAGAAATTTCAATCTGTTAAAAACACTTAACATAAGGAATATTCTTATAGATTCGAAATTTCAATTGGTTGAATCGCAGAATCAACAGGTTAAAATGTTTTAATGATTTTTCATGTATTACAGGTTTCGCATTTTCAATTTGTTGAAATATTTTTTAATCTGTTGGAACAGAGAGACCATTTTTTTTCAGTCTAAGTGTTTTTCAAAACTTCAATCTGTTGAAATATTTTTTAAATCTGTTAAAACAAAGAGACTATTTTTCTGACTAAGAGTCTACAGGATTTCAATCTGTTGAAAGGTTTTTTAATCGATTGAAACAGAGAGCTGTCATTTTTCATTAAGCTATTTCAATCCATTGAAAACACGAATCAATCGACTGAATGAAGTTTTAAATGAAATCAATCGGTTGAATCGTCATTTTAATCGATTGAAATACATTCTAATCGATCATAATTTGATTCTGATCGATCATAACTTGTTCTAATCGGTCATAATGTTGTTCTGATCGATCATTTGCGTCTCTGAATCAGTTTTTATCAGTTCAAATGGTCTGGTTTGAAAGAATTAATGGTTGAGTTCAAGAGGGGGGGGGTGAATTGAACTTTAAAACTTTTTCGCAAAACTTACTTTCTTTTTGGAAGAATGAGTTATCTTTATTCAATCTTTGCAAAGGTAACTTGGTTTAAACACAACACAATTAAAGACAGAAAATAAAAGAGATGAAAGAAGAATATTAACACACAAATTTATACCTGGTTCACTCTAATCCGTAGCTACATCCAGCTTCTTGACAAACCGACCAAGTTCCACTAATACCAAGTGAAAAATACAACCAAGTAGATACTCACCAATCTACCCCAAGAACTATCTTGCAAAACCCACAAGACAGAATCTTGAAAACCACCCAAGTAACCAAATCCAAGTCATCGTACCAAGTGCAGATCACAATCCAACCTGCACAATCACACTTTTACAAAAGAGTATGGAAAGAAAAACCTGGACTTGAAGTTCTAATTGTCCGTAACAAATTCTAACAAGACTTTCTCTCTTTGATTGACCACAATTCTGATCACAAGACCTTATGATATGAAAAGATTCTTGAATGCGGAGAAAGTCACGTATATGAAAGTTTCACAGAATGATTTCACAAGTTTTCTCAAGTAGTGTGTTGTATATATTTCAAAAGATAGATCAATTCTGCATATATAGAGTAAAACAAAGAATCGAACGTTTCATATGTCAAAAACTGTTTCAGAGAGTCAAATGAACGATTAGTTTGAGAGTATAACAGTTTAAAAGAGACTCTGATCGATTAGAACTGAAGTATGATCGATCAGACCGAGTTATGATCGATCAGAATGAAACTATGATCGATTAGAATATATTTCAATCGATTAAAACCACGATTCAATCGATTGATTTCATTTAAAGCTCCATTTCAATCGATTGATTCGAGTTTTTAATGGATTGAAACAACTTAATGAAAAATGACAGACTCTTCTGTTTAAATCGATTGAAAGTCATTTCAACAGATTGATTTTCTAAAAACTCTTAGATCGAAAAGGTCTTTCTCGTTTCAACAGATTTAAAATCATTTCAACAGATTAAATTCCTGCAAACACTTAGTTAAAAAATAGTCTCTCTGCTTTCAACAGATTGAAAAATATTTCAACAGATTGATTTTCTAAAAACTCTTAGATCGAAAAAGATCTTTTTGTTTCAACAGATTTAAAATCATTTCAACAGCATTGAAAAATCGAAACTTGATATTGAAAAATTCATTGAGTTATTTTAACTTGTTGATTCCGCGAATCAATCAATTGAAAATACGATTATGTATGATCACTTATTCTTTTAAGTGATTTTAACAGATTGAAAATCCTTTTCAACAGATTGAAAAACTTAGTTTGTTCTTTTAATACTTAGATGTTAGTTTTTCATGCGTAAAAATGATTTTCAATGGGATGCAACATTATAAGGCGCTTATCACAAAATATATTGGCCTATCAAGAGATTAAGTGCTTAAACTAAAAACCTAATCATCTACA